AAAGAAAAAATACCTGAAGATATTTGTTATGATGATGATGATGATAATCATCATCATTAATGATTAATGATGATTTTGATGTTGAAGATTGATTTATTATTAATGACTGATAATGATGATGATGATAATGACGACGATGCTGATAATAATAATGACTGATTGTTGTGGTTGATTATTATTATCATTATTATCATTATTAGTAATAGTAGTAGCAGTAGAGCTATTAATGACTGATGATGATGATGATTGATAATGATTGATAATGATGATAATGATAATTATTGATAAGGATTAATGATTGATGATTTGATGATGTTTATTAATAATGATTATGATGGTGATTAACATTGATGAAGATAATGTTAATAATGATGATTATTGTGAATGATTATCATCATTATCCTCATTATCATTATTATTATTATTATCATTACAAGTAGTAGTAATAATATTAATTATTAATGATGATTAATGATTGTTGATGAAAGTTAATCGTAATTATTGTTACTGAAACTGATGCCATGATGGAGATGAGAATAATAATGATAATGATTATTGATAACTGAAAATTGGTGATGATTATGGTAATAACAGTAATTAATAAAAAAAAAAGAAATATAACCATAATGTTAAAGATTATACTAACAACGATATCAAACATTATAAAATAATTTTCGTAATAGTTTATTCAGTATTAATCTGCTGTAATAAACATTTCATTGATATCACTATAGCGTATGATCTTTATCCCTGAATATTCGCTTCACAATTGTCTTGGCAAAATCTTTATAAAAAAAAAGAAAAAAAACTCTCAGAAACGTATCATCTTTGTAATATAACATAAGAAATACTGAATAAAAACAATAACAAAAGCAAGAAGAATAACAATGACACGAGGAACAATGATGATAATAGTAATGTTAATAACAGAAACATATAACATAGAGAAGGATGAGGTGATGAGTCAGGGATGTGTAAAGGATATAAAAATAAATTACAAGGATTAAAAAAAATAAAATAAAAAAGGTCCTGAGGTCTGGAATGTTCTCGTAGGAAAAGGGGAAAACTCCCAGAGGGGGTGAAGGTTAAATCTGAGTTCCTATCACGTTTGTGTTTTCTGAAGGAATGTGCAATAGAATGAAAAAAGGGATGTCGCTAACTGGCAAGATTACGAAGAGAAAATGTAAATATACATATATGGGAATAAAGAACACGCTTACCATCACGATAGCTATAATATAAATATATATGTATATACAAACACAGGACAATAACAGTATTGAATATGGGAACATCGTGGGTCCTGAAGGCTATCGAGGCAATATAAAAAGCAGTTCCCATTTTTTGCT